TCCGTATGTACGTACTTACAAAAAAAAGTGACCAAGTGAAGGAACTCAGGGGACGCTGTGAGCGTGGGACAAGGGCTGAATTCGGATCACGGGGGACAGGTTGACCCTAAGAATCTTCTGTGCTCTCCTTCTCACTTCATCATCAGACAAAGAGTTGCCCACTTTGATGGCCCGGAATTTCAGCAGGTTCAAAGTGCTCCGAGCCCGTCGAGATTTATTTTGGGCAGGGATGGTATTGGCTTTCTTCCTCTGTGGGGCTTCTCTTGCCTCCACAGCTCTTCTCTTCTTCTGTCCAACACCCTCTCCTTCCTCTCCATTTTCCCCACCACAGCCTCCTTATCTCGGATTTTCAAGGTCCTGGACTGTGGTGCAGCAGAGCAGCCCTGGGACGAGCTGCCTGTGAGTCTCCCGTTGAGGACTCCCGAGGCTTTGCAAGCATTGCTCTCCTGCAGCACGCCACCATTTGGTCCCTTCAGAAGTTTTAAAGCAAAGGTGGCAGGATCCGGTGCTTTCTTTATCGAACGCTTGTACCTCCTACCTTCCGTTACTTTAGCGGCCTTGCCTGAAGGAAACTGCCTCTGTGGCCTCGCGGCCTTGAGGAGTTTAAGGTCCGAGGGCGAGATCCCCAGACGCCCTCGAGAGTACTTGGGCTCCAAACAGGCCGCGGTCGTTTTCAGGGGCACCAGAGCTTCCAGCACCACCGACAGCCTCATGGCGGGATACACGTCCGGGTACATGCTGGCAGGGAAGCCCACGGCCGCCGCCTTGGGCGCAGCAGATCTCGTCTGCTTCAAGGAGCTCAAGAGGAGATTTGTGGAATCCCCTTTGGAGACGGGCTGAGCGGAGACTTCTGGAGAGGACACGGAGATGCTGGCGGGCGAAGCCGACACCTCCGCCACGGCCGCGGCGCTCCTGGCCGGACTCTTAGCGGCGCTCTCCTCGGCGCGACCTGGCGTGTCTGCCGTGCAGGAGCTGTACCCGTACACATCCTTACTCCTCAGAATCGTGGGCTGGTAGCCCTCCTCCTTCAGGCCCTGAATGAAGGCCACCAGCTGGGTCTCTGTGTCCGAAAGGTCCTTGGACATCGGGTTGAAGACTCGGAGAGCTTCCTCCAGCACTTTCTGTCCCGCAGAGGAGATTCGTGACCAGGAATGGACAGCTTTCTCTTCCACATTGTTCACTGCAATATTCATGGCATTAGGCAAGTGGGGGCTTCAAAATGGTCCAAACTGCTGGAAAAACAACCCCCGATACCTCAAAAGGAGAGAGAAGACAGTTAGCTTACAGCAACTGAAATCATCCTGCCTGTTTAAGCAGGGACCTGAAACCATTAAGCCCAGGCATGGCTACTCACAGACAATGGTTTGGAGTCTGGGCATAACCCAAGTTAGAAGCATCATCAAGAAAATCCTGTCACTGATTTGTCTCTGAAGTAAAACTAAAACACCTCCTGCAAAACTATTCTCAAACCTACACACAGTTTTCAGGCCATCCCATCCAAACCACCCTAAGACAAAGGTTCCCAACGGTCAGCTCAGTAAAACCTTCAGCTCGTTTCCAGTTTGAGTCTGACATGGCCCAGCTCAAGGTCAGCAGCTCCCGTTTTCGGTCGGAACCGCAGCGCTTCGCTGTGCCCTCTGCCTGCTCACACACCGCGACTGAGCCACCTCAGCACCACGCAGCCTCAGCACTTCAAATGTACCCCAGCAACACGTTCAGTTTCCCAGCTTCCTCACTGATTCTGCTCAAAAAATGGATTCTCAGTCCCTGCCAAAACCGCAGCTTCCTCCTGAAGACATGACAGCAGCGCTGGAGGCTACTTCAGTTGCACTTCCTCGATGTTGAACGCTGTGGCAAGGCAACACCGCTCCTCGCCTCTGCCTTGTTTGAACAACGATCTGCAACTTGCTGTCACAGCAAGCTGGTGTGGATCCAAGGGCACTTGCTGCCAAGGGAGGAGGAAGCAGGAAATTGAAGCGGGGAGGCGTGAAGGATAAGCACGTCACTGGGGCCAAGCGTACAGCAGCCCAAGGGACAACACTGGGACAACAGCACTCATTATTGCTTTAAATAATAAAAAAGGGACTGAAGAACGGTCCAGGCGGGGTTTTGTGATGTGCTCAGGAGAACTCTGATCCTCTCACACTGAGCTCGTGGCTCAGCCAGCTCTGCAGCTGTACTGAGAGGCTACAAAATCTTTAGCTTCATCGATACCCCTCAAAATTCAGTGACAGATCCTTTCCAGGGAAGCGCGGAAGGTGTTGGAGACACTATCAGAGAGGGCAGGAAAGCTGTGACAGAAACATTAGCGCCTGAGCAGACAGAGAGCAAGGAGCTGCTCATGTCTGACGTTCTTCCCAGAACTCTGGTTTCTCCACAAGCCCGGGAGCACTGGTCCTGGGGCTGCGGCCAAGCCACCACCGGCTCACGAGCAGGGAGGAGATGCGAGCAGCCACAGAAGGGGAAGCACAGGTCAGGAGGGGAGTAAGCGCCTCCACATGACGTGCTAATCTCAGTCAAGTGTTCTGCAGACGTCAGGGCAGAAGGGGGATTTGGAGGAGGATAACGTGGTGGCTCTGCAGCAGACGGGGATCTCCTGGGGGGTTTTTTTTTTGGCCAGCCACAGGTTTGCCACCTCCACAGCGAAGCCAGCAGGGATGGAAAGCTTAATCCTGATCTGGTAGAGAAGGAGAAACCAATGGAGAAGCACAAGTAACAACGTGCATTCGAGGGGCAGCAGAATGGATTGTCCTCAGGCTGCAGCACGCCCGGGACCAGCTGGGACACCTGAAGGGGTACTCTGATGTTGAATGGAGAGGCTGTGACACCTCACGGG